TTGACATTTCATAGATAAAAATATAACATTTCATTCCATCAATTTGTACTTTTTTTCAAATAAAATGTATTAGTACAACACCCGTGTATTACACGGGTGCTTGTTAAAAATTTATTCTTAAATTTTAAAATTAATGAGAAAACTATATTAAATTTAGTTTACTTTTTACAAAAATAATATATTACTATATATTTTAGAATAATATGTGTTACTTATGACTTACATGTGTTATATTATATTAGTTTTTATAACTTAAATCATATAACTATTTGGAATATAAATATATTAGTTAATAAATAATTTAATTTTTTAATTAATATTAAAAACAATTTTATTATTGTTATAAAGATAAATAGAAATTATTTTTTTTATACATACAATATGGGTGTTAAATCGAAACTCATCAAAAGAAGATTAATTTCATAATTTGATATATTACATATGTAAAATTGATAAAAAATACAAAAGTTATTAACTTTTAAAATACCAAACAATTCAATAGTTATAACAAGGAATGATATTAAAATGCAATTAATGCATGTGACATGACCTTAAATAATCAACATATTTATGGTAATCCGAACCTAATTATTTTGGTTTGGAATTAAATTAAAATTTACCAAAGCCTAATAACGAAGCATGTAATTTTGCCACATAGGATTTCGAAACACCAGAAGCAGCTACATAGGCTCAGCGCGTTCTGAATTAATATATAAGGGGAAGGGGGATTATAAATTGACTCACCTACCGATTAGGCTGTCTAACTAAGGATTTGTGTTGTTTTATGTGTGATTTTATTGTACATGGCATGAGATCAGATATGTTCTCCACAAATGATTTTACGATATTATGAAACAAAAAATCAAGAAATGCTATAATTAAGTACATAATATTGTACATAAAGGTGTACATAACACTTATATTGAGTGTGACCTACCAAAAATTAAAAATCAAGTAGACCTCACTTCACGCGAGTATTATGTACAAATTTATGTCAATTTTATTAGGTACTTGTATCATTTTTTTTTTTTTAAAAAAAAATCTATATACTCAGAAGAGTAAGAGGTCACGTGAAATACCTTTATACCACGAATCTAATGAGCTAACTTAATAGCATAATAAATTACAAGATTTAAGAAGGTTTATAGATATTAAATAAGTTAATTATAAACAATAAAGACATGAGTAGATTACACAGATGTATACACGCAAGAATCAACAAACAACATACCTTTATTATTAAATAATGATTTAATTTCATGATTGTACCACACTTTCACACAATTTCACCTGATGTTATACACTTTACGTGTTATGATATATAATTGTAATGTATTAGTGTCTAATTGACCGTCTTTTTTTTTTTTTTTTT